AGGAAGTGAAACAAATATAAGAGGGTAAGAATGGGGAATTACGGTCTTCTGGACATGGCTGTCAAACTCTTGAACTCACAACAGCTGTGGCAATAAGTACAAGATCAAACTAATCAAAATTCTGATATATTAGGGATAGATGGTCTGTAGGCTGTACTTCTTCCTGGAGAGCTATTGGCAATGGATAGATTCTGGGGAAGGAGAATTTTCTGTTTTGAGGATATGGCCACTAGTAGGAATCCCATGTTCCAATGATGGCCCAACACCCATGCACACATGGGCAGCAAGGAAAGACTCAGTGGTTACCCCAAAATAAATGATACAGAGTTGGGAGGGGACATTTTGGAAGCCATAGCAGGAGTTGTATCAGGGAAATAGGAATATATATATATATATATATAATATATATATATATATATATAATATATACACACATATATAATTCACACACATATAATTTCATTGTAAAAACTTAACAAAAATAAAAAATGGCAATGTATAATTAATAAAAACTAAGATTAGAAAAAGATTGGGAGAATGAAGATTGAAGAAAGCAGAGAAAATGGGCAATAGGCAGATATTGAATTTTTGTTAGTCTGAAAAATAAGTTTGGTAATATAGTGATATGCATGGTGACCATAGTTAATATATTCTACAGTAAATTATGGTAATATATTTTATATTTATAATATATAATAAAATACTATATAAGCAATTTTCAAATTTTTATATATGTTTTAATATATTCATGTGGAAAAAGTGATAAAATTATGAAGTTAAAGAATATGTTAATTCATTTTGGAGGAGGGGATGGGAGGTGGGTCAGGGGAGGAGGCTGGAGGAGCAGGGGGAGAGATGAGAGGGGATCTATGGTTGATATGTAAAATGAATAATATTTTTTCAATAAAAAAGAATGTTAATTAAGCCTACAGTAATGGCACATGCCTTTAATCCCAGCACTTATGAGGTGGAGGCAGAAAGATCTCTGTAAGTTCAAAGCCAACCTGATCTACACAGTGAGTTCCAAGACAATCAGAGCTATAAAGTTAGACCCTATTTCAAAACAAACAAAATTATATGCTAATTAGATTACTCTTTAAGTAATGTGACCAATGTAATTAATAAAATGTAGACCAAAACATTACATTGTATCCCATTCTATACAATTATTTTTTATTTGATACAAAAATAAGTGTACTGGAACATCTAAGAAGAGATTTCAATAATAGTGTTTGGAAATATTTATGGTTAAAAATTTAAGTAAAAGATCAAGGACAGAGAAATGATTTTGAGAACTTTCATATATGATTCTTCTCAAATATTTGCTATAATAATTAAATTGAATGGGTTACTATTATCTAACTGAATTTTACCATTAAGAAAGTAGTATGAAATTCTGAAAAGAAAAATGAAAGATCCCTCTCAACTCAAATCATAATTTACCCTGAAATTGTTCCTATCTTTGAAAGCATAGATTCCCAAAACTTTCCAAGAAAGTGTAATTCATATATCCACATACATATGCACACAATAACACACACACATATAATCACATACAAACATATATACATAGTAAGAGAGACTCACACACACTGCATGTCCATATATTCTTGTATATATATTCATCTACATATTTGTATATGTTTTCATAGATTTATGTAATTTTTTTCCATGAAATTCTGAACTTCATGTTCAAAAGAGTTATATTTAAAAACCTTTAAGGATCTGTGACTAATCAAAGCACATTCTTTTCTCACTTATATCTGTTTTCTTTTCATCAAATACATGCTTGTTGCATTTCCAAGATTGGTTGGAGGCAAGTGTAACCCCCTTTCCACTCTGCCTCCTTTCTTTTGCCTCAAAAAACAACTAAGGAGAGCAACAGAATCTTGCCAACTTGCTGCGGGATTTAACTTGGAGAATGAATTACGTTTTGTTCTCAGATGAGCTGCTCTGTCAGTGTCCATTGCATCAAACAGATGGTATGGATAACCCAAGGAGGGGAGTTTGCATACAGAATCCCAATTCTGTATTTACCCCGATTACTACAAAGAAACTATGTCCCACGTGTCCTGCATTTGAATGTTCGTGGAGGGTGGGGGCACTGGAATAGAGTTCCAAGATGACTGTTGCTGCTTCTGCCCCTTCCTCTTTGGGAAGCACCCAAAGGCTGCAAAGATACCCCACAGCTGCAGGTTTTACAGCTGCAGGTTTTAAATGGTATTTTGCAGAGACCCATAAACACTAACTTGTTAGAAAACACAACACAAGCTTCTCTTCATCTGGTCATCAAATCTGAACACAGTTAGTGTAGAGAGATATTAGAATGCATACAAAGGTGCCTTGTCACATCCACTCTCAGTCAGCTTTTCTGGCTCTGCTAGCTCCAAATGCTTTAGGCATTCTGCCTGCCTTTGCCATTCCCTTCCCAAATACCAAATGGCAAGGGGGCACCTACCAATTGATATCTGCACTTAAAATAGACAAACTCTGTGTCCTTATCACTGCCCACTCCTCTCCACTGAATCCTTTATTTAATGGAACATAGAATAGCATTTTCAGAGTTTCATTTTTAAAGTCCTAGGTAGAGACTCCAGTCTTTCCAAATGGAGAGTGAATTCACACAAAAGAAGCAGGTTGCTAGGAGGCTCTTAGGAAAAGGAAGAGGTAATGCGTAGGTCAGGTGGGAATGCTGGCATGGCAAGAAGAAGATTCAGAGAAAAGAACCACCTGACCCAACAGAGAGAGATGGATGGCCAATCTAGAGTAAGTTGTGGTGATACATTGTGTACCCCAATAAAGCTTGCCTGGGGTTTAGAGGACAAAGACACCCATTACATTAAACATAGAGGTCAGACAGTGGTAGTACACACTTTTAATCCATGTGGATCTCTATGAGTTCAAGGCCACACTGGGAACAGAGTCAGGTGTGGTGGCACACGCTTTTAATCCCAGCACTAGAAAGGAAGTAAGATGGCAGGGCACAGAAAGGTATATAAGGCATGAGTAAAGAGGAAGTATCTCTCTTGAGGCTGAGGATTTCTTAGAGATAAGAATGTGGCTGGCTTAATCTGTTTCTCTGATCTTTCAGCTTTCTCCTGAATATGTGGCTCTGGGTTTTTTCTTTTCTTTTCTTTTCTTTTTTTATTTATTAATAAGACCACTTAGCAATTTGTGTTACCGTAAGTAGTTCAAGGAGAGCCAGATGTTAACTGCATCCAGTGTTTTCTATTTAATGGCACCTGTTACAACGTCTGACAAAAAGCTCAAAGAGCCAGGGAAGTCCTTAATGACATGCATTTAGCATAAGCGCAGGGCTCAAAAGTCGTCAAAAGCAGAGGAGTGTGTGAGTGTGGAGATAGACAGACTAGGTGTCTGTCTTGACTAGGACAGGAGGTAATGAAGCTCAATGAGCACTGCACTTGTCCTTGTACTAGACCTGGTGGAATTAAGGCAGAGTCTCCATAGAGGGCAATGATCATTCTGCCACAGATATGCATGCACAGCTCATGCTTGAGCGGGTAGGTACACAGGATTTCCCTTCACGATGCTCCCCTTCCTGAGTTGGCATCCTCTCTTTGCATTGAATGCTCTCCACAGCTGCTAGCTGGTGGATGACACCGAGAAGGCCCTAGTTGAGTCCAGCCCCAGCCTGGCTGTAATTGAATCTGGCTGGCCAGCAGTCTTTCTCTCTTGAATGAGTTTTAAAGTGAGATTTAGCTCAGAAGTACATCCTAGAAGAGAAGGCAGAAATCTCCACCTGGCTGCATCTAGGGAACAATATTTCACTCCATGCTGACAGTGTTCTGAAGACACATAAAGCTGAGCTGGGAAAGGAAGTGACCACAGGGCTCTAATTAGGACACTCCTCCATCTGTCAGGGACAGCCACCTTGGTGAGTCATGCCTGCTGGATGTTATTATTTTAGGGCTATTGGGACTCATTGTCTAGATAGGTCCATAGCAAGGGTGAAAGTGAGATAATTAAACAGTAAACTAAAGGTGTGTATGCTTTGCCCATGTGCATCTGCTAATTAAAAATGCAGAATTCAATACCTATCTTATTGTACATAATTAAGTTAAAAAACAGGCTCAGCAAAATACTATTTAATACTCAGCAAATAATTGTTTTTTTAATGAGATAGAAGGATGCAAAAAATGTTTGTGAGGGAAATATATAAAATCATTTAAAATGAAAAAATGTAATTTTTAATGGTTAATTAGTGAATGCAACATGAATAGTGGATTTTCCCATGCCTGGGAATTTTTCCCATAGTCAGACAAAGTAACAGAACCTTTTTCAGTAGCCAGGCTTGAGTTTGGCTTGTGAGTGGCTATACTTATTGAACTTGTGTCTCTAGGTAATACATTATGATGATAATTGAGATTCTCTGATTTTCCTTACATGTGTGATAGAGATTTCAACAATTGTGTCTGTTTGTTTGTTTAGCAAAAGGAGCTATAACTCTCTATATGTGGACTAAAATAATGTTTTGCTACCATATAAAGACATTGAACAAAACCCAACAAGCTGTTTTTCCTGTGTGATCAAGTAATAGGCATTTAGGTTGCAAAATCCATTCTGCTTTCATATTGTCTTCTGTGTTTATTACTTATGTTGATTTTTACTTTTTTTTTCTATAAATGAAAATAAGCATCATAACCACTCATATTTTAAAACAGGTTTCAACAGAGCCCAGCACACTGAGCCTAGGCAGGTCCAAGCCCCTTCCCACTACACCAAGGCTGTGCAAGGTGTCACAACACAGACACCGGATTCCAGATGCCTGCCCATAGACCAGGGACAGTTCCCGATCCCCCTGCCTTAGTGCCCCCCAAACAGTTTGAGCAAAACAACCGTCTTCCGTATCCAGAAGGCCTCGATTTGGGGAATGTGGAGTTGTGGGGTGGCTTGGAAAAGAGGGCTGAGGAGTGGGAGGAGGGAGGAGGGGGGTTGTGGATAGTATGTGGAGTGAGTAGAAAATTTCTTAATAAAGAAAAATGAAAAATAAATAAAAATAAATAAATAAACAAAACAGATTTCAAGCATTCTGGAAGGCTTGGCCCTGAGACCTAACTGGGGAGCCATAGGAATGAAGCAAGGACAGACATATGGACACATAAAGAAAAGCTGGGATAGGTGGGCTATGCTTGTTCCAATGAAAGGCACTTACTATGCTACACAGAAATTCAAGACCTTTATTATGGACAAGCCTAGATGAGCGATCTCTGTAGGGGAGCAGGCTCTGGTTGTCATCATCTGGTAAGGAGGGTTCTGTGGTCACTAGTTTTTTAAGCACATTGCTCAGTCATTCACAAGAACTCTTGTTTGGACTGGAGGAAAGCTTTGCCATGCTGCTGACCCTCACTTGGGAAAGGTTTTGCCATTTTTATGGATCTGAGGCACTGGCATCCTTGACATGGCTGTGCCCATTTCAACAACACACATGCACTCAGGACTCCCTTTGTTCCCCTAAAAGGAAGTGATTTGGACCCTAGATTGCAATTAATTAAATTTTGAATCAGGAGGTTTTGTCTGAAAAAGTGGAAATCTTTAAATACCTAAGCTGATCATATTTACCATCAAAGACTGTGTGTGTGTGTGTGTGTGTGTGTGTGTGTTTGTATGTGCACATACATATATCTATGCTTGACATAACAAAAATTGATAATTAACACAAATCAGGTATGTACAGTACTGTTTCAGTCTGATAGGACTGATTTCTACAGATCAAAAGGCACATTGACACCAGGCAGTTGAAATTTCAGGAACAATTCCAAGTTCTCAAACACTACACATTCACATACTAGACCTTGTACCCTCAGGAACTTCCATCAAGGCAACTATAAACTAGATAAAATTAAAACATGAGACTCATTTTTCTGACAGATTCTGTATTCCTGCTTCAGATTCTATTGTTGCAGAGTGGCTAAGGAGGGCTAAACATGCTTCCCCTTCACCTCTAGAGCTTGTTCTTCAATCATTAATACATCCAGAATAAGTATTGTGAGACCTTTGAAAAATGTGTTCAGCAATCTTAAAACTGGGATTTATTTATTTACTTCATGTAGGCAGGCGTTCTGCCACATGTGTCTGTGCACCACTCATGTGCATGGCCTGCCAATGCCTGGAGTAGCCATTGGATGCCCTGATGCTGTGATTACAGAGGGTTGTGACCTGCCACATTCAGGTGCTAGGAATTTAAGTCCAAACCTCTGGAAGAGCAATCAGTGCTCTTAACTGCTGAGCCATCTCTCCAGACCCTGTCCAATAATTTCATTCATATCCTTCTCCTCCTGACATTGTGGAAAATCAATCACATCATGGGCTGAATCATAGGATTTATAATAAAAATAAGAAAGATTGTATTATGGATCTTACAAGGCATCCCCATTGCCAATATAGAGTAACATTTTACTATTACATATCACATAAGGAGATCCAACTTAGAAGAAGAATAGGAAAAGAAAAAAACAAAGTCAAAGACAAAAAGACCCTACACGAGATTCTCTAGTATCACCATTTTCTCATCAGTCACACAAACAACTTCATTTAGACTAACCCAAAATGCACATTGAAAACTTTAAAAGGAACAAGAGAAAAATCACTTTCCTTCTTAAGTTGGAAAAACTCCTAAGTCACAAAATAAAACCAACAGAAAATTAGATAAAGCTGTCACAATAGAAAAAGAAAGTGTTAACACCCTTGGGATGCAGCAGTGTCTGAGTAATGATGCAAAAGGCAAAAGATAGCAGAAAAGTACAAAATAAGGAACTGCTAACTAACATTAGTAGTAATCACCTACACATGAAGAAAAGTCGTGTTGATGCCAACAGTGGTTAGTAACAGCATAGAAATAGAGCAGGATTGTATCCTCACACATTTGCAAACTTTTCTGCAGTTGGATATTTAATATTTGACTTTGTAGCAGAAGATAGACTCAGTAAACACTGAAACAAAATTGACGATTTTCTTTTCCCTTTTCCATGAAGATCTCATGAATATACAATTTGTGAGTATGGGTACAGTTCTATTCAGTGAGGGACCCTCAGGTTCTAGCCGATACCAGCTCTTGATGTCACCATTCTTAGGGAATAGCTGTCCTCAGAGTGCAAGGGGGAATTCCAAACCATGCATTGCAGAGAAGATAGTGGGAGCATGATGAGGAGCCTATGTCCTAGCTGTTCTTTCTAGATGATGTCCAGAACTCAGCAGGGGACCAGGATTGGTCAGAGGGCTGAACATACCCTCCTTCCGCAGAATCTGAACATCACTAACT